GGGGAGCTGGCGACGCACCTGGAGCCGGGAGGAGGGAGCGGTGCAGGGAGGGGCGCGCGGCTGGAGAGGATGGGACCGGAAGGGCCGGGCAGCGGCGGGGCGAGGCTGCCGGGGGAGCCGGGGAGCGAGGGAGCGGCCTGGACTTCAGAGGATCTGGGGGTGCGCTGAGGGAGCTGGGGTCGCCGCCACCACGGCGGAAGGCTGAGGGCAGAGTCCAGAGGGACGGGGTCGCTGCGGGCAAGGATGCCGTGCTGGGAGTCTGGGGAGCAAGAGAGAAAAGACCAGGCTCACCAACAGCAGAAGGGAAGGCTGGGGGTGGCCTGGCCAAGGCGACTCCAGCACCGAGTGCCCCGGACTTTCTGGGTCTCTCTTGGTCCAGATCAGGACCGGAGAGCCAGGCCTGTGGGGTCTCGGGTCTGGCCCCACCTCACCCCTGCCGTGCCACTGAGTCACCTGCTTGCTCAGTTTCCTATCTGTGACGGGAGGTGGTGATCAGGGCCGCCGCCACCTCACAGGAATGCTGCGGGGCTCCCAGGGCATCTATGCAAAGCGCTGGGCACTGGGGCGCTGGCAGCCGCCAGCCTGTCATCTTCTCTCCCTCCAGCACCCGGAGAACCACTCCCCCAAGAGCTCCTCCCCGCCCTGCACCAGGCCCAGCGCACAGGCAGACAGACCAACAGACAGCACTACCGAGCTCCCTCCGCTCTCCGCCCTCCTGAGGGAACCTGGACTTTGATCCACTCCTCAGCCCTGCCTTCCCCTCTCGGCCCCACCAGCATCACCCTACCACCATGCACGCCCTTTCTGGCTGCTGTCTACTCCTGCTTCTCTTTGTGGTAGTCCGGGGAGCCCTGGAGACCCCCAGCGCGATCCCGGTGCACGTCCATCTGTCCTATCCAGGTAAGTATCTGTGACCCCTCCTGAGGCCTCTCCTAAGGAGGCTTCATGATATTTCATTGGTTAGGGGCTCCGGAAACTTAGGAATCCTAAGCTGGCAGTCTGTTCTTCCTGGCCTCAGTTGTCTGACTCTGTGAAATGGGATTATAGTCATGTACCTATATGGAAAGTGTCGATGGTGTCCGGCCCATCATGAGCTCTCTCTGGCTCCAGATGGGGTTGCTGTTGTCCTTGTTTATCATGTCACTGTTGGATCTGGGAGACCTGGCATGTGAGTGTGCGCTTGGCGTGATAATCAGTTGTGGACTGGGGGTATAGCTCAGCGCCTGCCTGGCAAGCACAAAGTCATGAGTTCAATCCTCCGCTCCTCTTCCCTGAGGGCTGGGTCCCACTCCTGCATGGAGAGGTGAGAAGCACAGTGTGAGGACCTGGGCTCTGCACCTTCTCTGTCCAAGTTGCCTGGGCTCGAATCCCAGCTTTGCTACTTACTGCTGCGTAACCTCAGCTGAGTGATTTCACCTCTCTGGCCTCAGCCTCTGCATCTGGACAATGGGTGATACGAGTGTGACCTCAGGGTGAGGAGTTCATGAGTCACTACCTGTAGAATGACAGGCTGAGGTTGGTGAGTTGCAGAGTATCACACGTTCTTGTCTCAGGACCCTTCTGGAGGTTACCAAGAACCTCTGAGAGCCAGGTATTGTGGTGCACTCCTGTACTCCCAGCACTCAAGAGGCTGAGGCAGGAAGATCACCATGAGTTTGTGGCTAGGCTGGACTACATAAGTGAGTTCAAGGCCAGGCTGAACTACATAGCGAGACCCTGTCTCAAAAAACAAAAAAACAAACAAAGAAAAAATGAATCTCCAAGAGATGGTTCTGGAGATACCTGCTGGTACTGGGCATATTAGAAATGAAAACAAAGACACCCAAAATATATATTAAGCTATTATGATGAACAATAACAAATCCCTTCTGTATGAATGTAAATAACATGTTTTGTTTTGTTTTGAGAAGGGATGTTATTATATTGCCCAGGCTAATCTTGAACTCCTGAGCTCAAGCAATCCTCCTGCCTCAGCCTCCTGAGTAGCTGTGAAAACAAGCCCACATGATTGTGCCTGGCTTCACATAAATGCTATTTTATTTATTTATTTTTGTCTTTTTGAGACAGGATCTCACTATGCAGTTCAGGCCGGCCTTGAGCTCACTTTGTAGCCCACGCTGGTTTTGAACTCCCAACAATCCTCTTGCCTCAGCCTCCCAAGTGCTGAGATTATAAGCCTGTGCCACCATGCCCAACATAAATGCCTTTTGAAATGAAAAAAAAAAAAAAAAGCCCTCTATTTTGCCAAAGAAGAAAGTTGGTAATGATTGTGGTGTTATCTACGGCACTTACATCTTTTTAGATCACTTTGATGTCTGACTGAATAGACGACTGGGTTCTCCTGCTTTTGCTTCCATTTTGGCTGCTGTGAGGAGTTGCTGTGGATGATGTCGATGAGGGAATCTTGCTTCACACAGATACCTGGTTGTGCCGGGCATAGTGGCACATGCCTGTAATCCCAGCACTCAGGAGGCTGAGGCAGGAGGATCATTGCAGGTTTGAGACCAGCCTGGGCTACAAAGTGAGCTTAAGGCCAGTCTGAACTGCATAGTGAGACCCTGTCTCAAAAAAACAAAATAAAACAGATACATGGTTGAAACGGGGAGAAAGACTTTAATACATTTCAGATCATTGTGGCTACTTTTCTTTGATACTACACCAAAAGTGAATATACAGGGTGTTTTTTTAAAAAGCTTTTTATTTTGAAATAATTTTGACTTGCAGAAGAGTTCCAGAGATAGTAAGGGGCTGCTGTATAATCTCTACCCATCATCCCTAGTGGACGCCTCTTCTCCAACTACGGTACCAACGTGAAAGCTAAGAAATTAACATTGATAGGAAGTTATTAATGAAACTTCAAATTTTACCACCTTTTCTGCTAATGTCTTTATTCTAATTTGGAAGTGTTTAGTGTCTAGTCTCTTCCATCTGTGACAGTCTTTCAGTCTTCCTTGGGTTCTCATGTCCTTGACACTGGTTTTTTTGTTTTTGTTTTTGTTTTTTGTTTGTTTTGAGGTGAGTTTCTCGCTATGTGGCCCAGGCTGTCCTCACATTTCTGGGCTCAAGCAGTTCTCCTGCCTCAGCTTCCTGGGTAACATTCACTGCAGGTGTGCGCCATCACAACCAGCCTCTTGACACTTTTAAAGAGAGTCATTTCTTGTTGTTGTTTTTGCAATGCTGGGGATTTAATCGAGCACCTTTGCACTGAGCTACATTGCCAGCTCTTTTTTTATTTTGAGACAGGGTCTTACTAAGTTGCCCAGGGTGAGCTTGAACTTGTACCCTCCTGCCTCAGCCTCCCAGAGTGCTGAGCTTACAGGTGTGCACCACCACACCCTGCCAAAGAAAGTAATTTCTGAAAGTCCAGTTGTGATGGGAATCAGAATTACGTGAATAAAGTGGTGTGGCATTCACTGGCCAGGTTGTGTCTGGCCCGGCGCTTTTTAGGGGAATCTTTACAAGGGCAAGACAGCAAACCACGTTCTTAGCACTGCTGTGGAGACTCAGTGACACCTCAGCTGTCCTGTGGCCTTCACAGTAATGCATAGCAAATACACTGTCCTGCAAGCTTCCCATAGACAGCTTGTCTAACTTTGCACTCATATTAAGCCAGAGGTACTATTGTCACTCCCATTTTACAGAAAAGTAAACTGAGGCTCATAGAGGTGAAGAATCTTGCCCCAGGTCACATAACTTGGAAACTGAATGCACCAGAGCCTACGATTGCTCCTTTAAAGCTTTTAATTTTGTACCAATTTTTTTTTCCTTTTACAGAGCAGTCATGACAGGTTTTTTTTTTTTTTTTTTTTTTTGAGGAGTGAAAGAGTAAAGGAAAAATTAACTCTGTAGAGCAAACTTAGGCCAAATAAGAGAATGGATAAAAGCAAAAATAAAAGTACACCCTGGTCCAGAAATGCAGAAGTCACGCTAGCCAGTTTACACTTTTAACAAATTTATTTTGAATGTAATATTAAACACTGTACTTAGGATTTTTTAATCTGTGCCTCTGACTAGTGTGTAGTTTTGCTGAACTGAAGCAGAATTCTGTGTACATCTTTATGTGGTACCTTAGGAGAATCAGACCGGTACACGATGTGTAAGGGTCAAAGCAGGGTAATAAGATCTTCCATCTCCTCCAACGGTAATCATTTTTACATGTGGGGGATTTGTGTTAGTTTTAGAATTAACAGAAGAGTTCCAAAAATATTGTAGAGAATTCTTATCTACTCCTCACTCAGTTCCTCTTAGTGTCTGTCTCTTATACAACCATGATATCATCACTAAGAGCAGAAATCTAGGCCAGGTGCAGTGACATTCACCTGTTGCCCCAGCTACTGAGGAGGCTGAGGTGGGAGAATTGCCTGAGATAGAGCCATCCTGGGCAACATAGTGAGGTCTGTCGGAAAACAAAACAAACAACCAAAACAAAACAAAATGAGGAAACCAATGTGGGTATGATATCATTGCTTAAACTACAGACATTCGCATTTTACCAGTGTTTCCACAAATATCTTTTTGTTTTTGTTTTGTTTTATGGCACTAGAGATTGAACCCAGGGCCTTCACCCTGAGCTACATCCTCAGCCCTTTTGTTTTTTAATGCGAGACAAGGTCTTGCTAAGTCACTTTGTTTCCCAAGCTGAGCCCAAATTTGGGATCCTCCTGCCTCAGCCTGTTCTTTTGCAGGATCCAGTCCAGGATCAAGGCTGTGTCCGCTGAGTGTCCAACCTGCCCGGTCACTTTTGAACTCTCTGTCTTCTGTGGTCTTGTTATTTTTGAGTGCGAATCACCTATTTTGTCAGACGTCCCTCACTTGAGATTTGTCCGACGTTGTCTCGTGACTGGAATTCAGCACTGGGTTCTGCGCGAGATTGGCAGGGATGACACGAGAGGGTCCACCTGGTGGATGTGGCGTGGCTGCTGCCCGTGGTGTGGTCCTTGCTTGGCTGGCTCAGGAGGTGCCTGCTGGGTTTCTCCATTGCGAAGTTACTATTCTTCCCTTTGTGGTTAATAAGTAGCCGGAGAAGGTTGCTCAAGACGGCGTAAATCCTGTTCCTCCACGAACGTTCGCCCACTAGTTTTTATATATAATTATTGTAGGCAAGAGTGGATCCTTCTGCAATAATTATTAGTGTGGTGTTTGTCTGATTGTGATTTTCTAATTTTCTCGTTCCTCCTTTTGTATCATTCCTTCTTCCCATCTAATTAAAATTTTGCTGTAAGGAAGAGCTGTCACGAACTCACAGCTATTGCTTTTATTCCACAAGTAAAACTCCAGTACTGTTGGTACTCATTCTGCTGCTCATGAAGGCCCAGATTAGAGCGCTTGGCATTTCTTCAGCCTGGCTTCCCAGGCTTTTACCAGGCTCACATCGTTGCAGGGCACTTCCTCACTTCCGGCCGCCACAAATTACGATCTTCCCCAGCCCCAGAATCACTCATTTCTCCACTTAGACTGAGTTCCGTTCGTGGGATAATGGGTCATTTGTTTTTTTGTTTACTTCTTTGGTTTTGTTTGCTTGTTTGTTTGTTTTTGTCTTTTTCAGACAGGGTCTCCCTATGCAGTTCAGGCTGGCCTTGAGCTCACTTTGTAGCCCAGGCTGGCCGCGAGCTCACAATGATCCTCCTGCCTCAGCCTCTCGAGATTATAGGCATGCGCCACCACGCCCAGCTACTTCTTTGTTTTTTGTATGTGGAGTTTTTTTTTGAGACAGGGTCTCACTGTGTAGTGCAAGCTGCCCTTGAACTCGCTTATGCAGCCCAGGCTGGCCTCAAATTCACAGCGATCCTCCTGCCTCAGCCTCTAGAGTGCTGGGATTACAGGGGTGCGCCACCATGCCCAGCTGAACGGGTCTTTAGAAACCAAGATCTGAGCACTCTGTAAGCTCTTTGCTAACAGGGTGAAACTGCCCCTGGTTCCTCTCAATGCACAGAGCAAGGCCACCTGCCTTGTGTCCTGTCAGGCAGGCCCACACATCTGTTTTTTTGTACCCACACGTCTGTGTCAGT